AACTACTTTTAGAAGACAGGGACCGTAGCTTCCATCTTTTTCTACAAAGTGTTCAAAATGAGCTGATGTTCCCCCAAGGTCTAAAACTGCTTGGTAAATATATGACACAGTTGTTCTTATTCAGTGACTGCTCTAGAGACTCACAGCTAAGATCCCAAGTTCACTCTTTATTAAACTTGTCTCAGTTATTTCCCTCACAGTAACAACAAAATTCTCACTACCCACAGCTTAAGGAAGAAGAGTTTATTTTGGCTCATGTTTCAATCCATAGTCTTCCAGCTCCAAGGCAGGATGGCATGGCAGAGGGCATGGACGAGGAAAAGCATCTTCATGTTAAGGCAGCAGGGAAACAGAGAGTCTAAGGAGGAACTGAGAGGGGAGACAAACTTCTGGGCCAGGCCTACAGGGGGTGGCCCCTTCCACCAGGCCCCATGTCCTAATGGTAAGTTGGCCCTGCACCCTATAATCCAATAACCTTCCAAAAGGCCTTCATGATTCTATGAGGCTTTAGCAGGACATCTAGATAAAACGAGAACAGTGTACTTTAAAGTTACACAAATATAGTCAGACTGAAAAATTCAAATCTGACAGTACCAAATTAGATCTAATTAAGAATATCAACCTAACCAACAGGCTATCCCTTTCTTCTTCCTAGTAAACAAACACAGGAACTCTTGAAACACTAGATTTAGTAAGTAAGGATGTGGAGATGATTAAAAAACAAAATAAAACATCCTGACCCCTGAAAGATGAACTCTGCCAACCTCTCACTGTTGGTGACGGTGATTCCAACCAAGCTTATGGCTCTAAAACATGTCTACACTTTTGAAAGAAGAGCTTTCTACTGAGTAGGTTTGCAAAACCCTCAAATGCAGCCAGGCATGGTGGTGCACGCCTGTAATGCCAGCACTTGGGAGGCTGAGGTAAGAGAATCATTGTGAGTTCGAGGTCAGCCTGGGCTACATAGAGAGACCCTGTCTCCAAAAAAAACAAAACAACAACAAAAAACTTCAAACACAATTGTAATGAACAAACATGAAAATTCTCTTGCATTCCCATAACATCACTTTGTACCTAAAACCCACATCCCTATAGCTGGTTACCCAATAACAAAAGTAAAGAAATTAGATGTTTTGGTAGTAGCATGAGACAGGTAGGGTTTAAATTACTTTCCAACAACTTGGATAAAACCAATATAATTCCCTTAAGGTCCAAAATATGAGTCATAGGCAAAGCTAGGAAATGAATCCAGAATCCTAACACCCATGGGGCCGTGCTCTTTCCTTCATCCAGAAAAAGAATTTGAAAAGCTAAGAACAATAGAGCCTTCCACAGATGCATTAAGTGCTTTCCTCCTTACAGTCCACAGGGCTGGGCCCTTTTAGTGAGCCAGCACTGCATCCTGTAGGGTCTGAATCTCAGGTTTCAGGCAAAAGCTCAGCGCTATCATTGAACTCGGCCCTCTGCATCAAAGCTGTTCCAGCAGAATTAACTGCCATTTCAGGTGGCCATCCAATGTGGATAGCTGGAATTCTCCAAATCTTAAGTTTGCTGAGTCTCCAATGACAGGTGAAACACACTGATCCAAGGACAGAGATTATAGTTCTAAGGCTGGGTTTATCTTTAAAATAATACAGCCCCATTCTTAAAGCAACAATTTGCTACCAGAACCATACAACCCTCTCCGGGGGAATATGAGAACCTCCTGGGGGTACATACTCTAAAAAGTACATCAAATATCTTAAATTTGTTTTAGACTTGAAAAACAAAAACAGAAAACATTATCTTCATAAAGAAGGGTGTGAGACTCTTACGTTAATCAAAAGGGCAAACAGGTTAAGAAAAACTTCCTGTTTCCAAAAGTATATAATGGATTAGATATTACAAAGAGCCTTTGCACTCTACCAGCTAGATCCTGCATAAAACTATCCTTTTACAATGTCTCTGGCCTCAAAGGAAGTAGAGGAATCACACTAAAATTACTGTGGGCTGAACCAGAAAGCAATACAATGGGGAGGTGAGGGTCCTCTGAGGCAAAGGCTTATTTTAACACTTCAGTGAGGAGACTGGGCCCTTAGGACTGCAGGGAGGTAAGGACACAGAACCAAACAGTTTTAAATGATGCTAGGAATCCTGCAAGGGGCCACAATCATTTTGAAAGGTGGCCACCGTAGCACTCCATGGAAGCATATGATCTCCAAAAAACAGCATCCTTCGGTTAGGTCTAGTTTTCACAGACTAAGACCAACCAAATATCAGCTTAAAAGCAAAGATACAAATCACCATATGTAACAGTTGTAAAAAACAACAAATAATAGATTTAGATGGCTAAGACTGCAAATATTTGAAATATTATATATGGAAAATAAAAGGCCTGTGCATGTAATGTTCTAAAAATTGTTAAAGGAATAAAAAGCTAGGCAAGCAAAAGCAGACCAAAAAAGAAAGGGAGTACAACTGGGCATGGCAGCACATGCTTATAATTCAAACACTCAAGAGGCTGAGGCAGGAGGCTCACTTTGAGTTCAAGGTCATCCTGAGCTACAGAGTCCAAAGCCAACCTGAACTACATAGTGAAACCCTGTCTCAAAAAAAGCAATAAGAAAAGAGTAAAGTTTTAGACGTGAACAATATAATTGGTAAAAAAAACTATACATTGGTTAATGATGGATTAGATATAGTTGAAAGCAGAAGTAACTGTAAAACAAAGATGAATAAAGAACCCAGAAGAAGACAGAGGCAAGAACATACAAGTTATGACATAATGGAGGACAGAGTGACACAATCATGTTTATTTTTTAATTAATTTTATGGGTACACTTACAATATAATGATCACATTCATTATAGGGAATTTGTACCTGTACATATCATCCTGATTCTTCTTTTTTTCCCATTCCCTTCCCCTCCTTCAACTATTCTTCTCTTCCGTAAACAATGTTTAATCAGAGTTCCATAAAAAAAAAAAAAAAATTAAGCAAATAGAAGCTAAGCAACAATTGAAAAACACCGGAGAATTCACAGGAAAGAAATAAATTCACAGATACAGAAGTATAACAAGTAAATATAGACATGTTGTAGTAGCATTTCAGAATAATAAGGCTAAGAAACGACCTTTAGTTAGAAAAAAAAAATACAGACAATCTAGCAAAGACTGAAGGTAAGACTGCAGGCAGAGACCAGAGGGTATTCACAATCCAAGCTGGTGACTAAGTAACTGCCACCCTTGAATGGTACATCCAGCAAATATGCATTTCAAGAACAAGATTAAAATGGGCATATTTTCAAGTACAGTATTCTCCCTTATCTGCAGTTTGCTTCTGCAGCTTTAGTTTCCTGAGATCAATTGTTGTCTAAAATATTAAGTGGAAAGGCTAGAGATGTAGTTCAGCTGTACAGCACTTGCCTAGACAGAGAGTGCCAGAGTGTGAGGGAGAAAGAAATGCGGTACTAAATAGAAGAAAATACAAGAAATAACTAATTCATAAGTTTGAAACTGTATGTCATTCTGCATAACATGATGATATCTATGGCTATCTGTCTAGTCCTACCTAGGATATGAGTCACCCCTTTCAGCATATCTACCACTAATTAGTCTTCAGTAGGTATGTGGATTATCAGACTATCACAACCTCATTGTGTGCTCATATAACTCTTACTTTACTTAATAATGCCCCAGAGTGCAAAAAATGATGCTGGCCATTCAGACATCCCAGAGAAGCCAGAAAGTGTTATCTTTAACACTTTCTAGAATTAATAAGGAAAAAAACTGGTTGAGCTTGCTAAAATTTACCCTGAGAAGCAGGACACAATAGCAAATGCCTGTAATCCCAGTACTGGGGAGGCTGAGGCAGGAAGACTATGAGTGTAAGGCCACCCTTGTCTATATAGTCTGTTCAATGCCAGTCTGGACTACAGAGTGAGACCCTGTCTCAAAAACAAGTAACTCATAAGATTTACAGAAAGAACAATCTTCCATCTGTGACACTGTAAAGAAGGAAAAACATTCATACTACTGTGCTTTTGCTGATGCGCCTTGAAGTGTGAAACTCTTGGCACAAGTGCTTGGTTAAAATGAAAAAGGCATTTCTCAAATTACACACTCCATTGTTTTAAAATATTTCACTATATATGCTAATTACTTTCATTTATACTGCTAGTTTATCCTGATTCACTGAAAAGGAAGTTTTGTGTTATTATCTGTTTACTTCTTTTTTGTAAGAACTGTTTTGGTTTATGCCCTGTACTCTGAGTAACTACTTTAAACATAATGATATATAGTATACTATTGTTATTCTTTTACTTTGTTATGAGATTTTGTTTTATTTTTTCACACAATAAGAAAGAAACATACCTGTTACCTCACCAAAAAAATAAAAATTTTAAAAAGATGAAAATGGTATTAAATTTAAGTATGTATAGAAAAAAAGGTATATATAGGTTTCAGTACTATCATGTTTCAGGCATCTAATAGGGGCCTTGGACATGGTCTCTACAACAAAGCAGGGGACTTCTACATAAAAGAAAAAAACAGCACAACACCAAGGACACTTGGAATTAGTCTAACAGCTCTCCTAAGTAACCTATCCTCTTCAATCTTCTTGACTCCATTTTGATCACATAACTTCCCTGCTTCAAACAAATAAATGAATTTCTAAACTTTACATAAGTCCAAATTTCTTGACCAGACATTTAAACAGCTTTATTATCTTGTTATTTGCTAATGTTCTCCATGATGGACAGTCTCGCTCCTCTATTTAGTAAGTGTGACCTACAGCTAGTGAATTTACCTACCCACGTCTCAGATTCCATATCTGAAAATACAATCTATAAAACTGACTGCTAAGACAGTTTTTAAAATTCAGGTACTGTGGACTGAATAATATATCCCCCTGTTGAAACCTTATTCTCTACTATGATATTAGAATGGGCTTTCAAAAGTTATTAGGTTTCAATGAGGTGATGAGGAAGGAGCCCTTATTATGGGCTAGTGGTACTTACAACGAAGAGATATACCAGAGCTCTCTCCCCTTCCACCAAGTGAGGACACAGCACCTGTCTTCATCTCCAAGCCAAGAAGAGGTGCTGCTTGAGGAATTGAATCACCTTGATCTTCGACCTGCCAGCCTCCAAAACAAATGTTTGCTATTTAAGGAGTCAGTCTGTGGTACTGTTAGATAGCCTGAGCTCACTAGGACACCAGGTAAAACAATCACCACAATACCTAGATACAGTTTTCAATAAATAGCAGCTGTTGATATTCCGAATGCTAATAACTTACTGCCCCAAAATACCACACATGCATTCCCAAGTCCATGCCTTAGCTCAAGTTATTTCCTCCACTTTTTTGGCTTTCAAAACCGCCATTTCCCCAAATATGTACTTATGTAAAACAAAATTATCCCAAAAGTTCAGCTCCTTCTTGAAAGTCTCCTCTACCAGGTCAGCCCAGAATAAATGTTCTTCCTTTTAAACATATGAAATATTTATCCAGGTGTTGTCTAGTTAGTTAACTCAATTGCACATTCCTTCTGGAACACTGCACTAGGGGAGTATTATGCCAAATTTCTCAGTCCTGCCCATTAAAGGCTTTATTGTCACGGAAATGGAACTACCACATAACTATGGACTGGATGATTAAAAGTTTCAGAACCTTGATAGAAATGCTTTAATGGAAAACACTGGGGTAGGGGGGACCCAACAGCAGTCTCAGGATTTGCTGCATGCTTTGTAAGCAGCAAACAGCTGCACTTCATCCTCAGGATGTTAAATACTTTCCTTGGAGGAAGACCTCCAACAAGGAAGGGCAAGTTGGGCAAGAAGTAGTGATGGTGCATCAGCTGATAGCTGGCTTCAGGGAACACCTTTCAGAGTCTATTTTTCCTACAAGTCAATTTGACCTTGTATTCTTGTCACCCAAAGGAAAAAGAACAGAGATCCTCCAGGAGTTATTTAGCTGGCACAGAGTAGAGGCTCCATAAATGTGACCAATCTGAAGAAGCAAACCGAGGCAATTCCTCAGATCACTGAGGGGAGGTAGGTACTCTCTAAGTTCTCTTTCAGTTTCCAGGGACCCATTTGTTGGGGAAGCCACAGCTAGCTCTGGCATCCAAAGCCAGTGACAACTAATTTCTAAACAGTCACAAAGAATCATGATCAAGCAACTGAACTTCAAGTCAGCCCTTCACCCAACGTGGCTGACATTCACTAACAAGCTAGAGAAAAGACAATCCATCCACATACTATCACATTAAATAAACAAATTAAATACTCCACTACTAGTGCCAAATTCAAAATTCCACTATTATATCCACTAGAAACCAAAACAAAAATTTTTCATTATACAATAAACATCCTCATTAAAGAAAACTTGAACAACAAAAGGATAAAAGAATTCAATACAAAAACAAAAAAACAGGAAACAGCCATAAAACGGTCCACTCAGAAGCAGAACCTATCAACATTCTGGTACACTTTCCTCCATGTTTTGCTCCCATGTCTGACACAGTGTAAGCACATAGTATACACTTGCAGCTGTGTCACTGAAATTGTGTCATAACTGTTTCCTCCTGTTTTTCATAACCTTGTAACTACAGAAAAAAGGCAGCAAAAAGATTGTGAAATTAAACCAAGTCAAGAAATACCACTCTTTCTTCTACAACAACAACTATTGTACTATTAAAAACTGAGACTTCCAAAAGCTCATCTGGCCACTAGAACTAAAACAGATTAAAAATATCTAAACATAGTCTATTAAGAACTGTTATCTGACTTTCAAGTGACAAAGAAAGACAAAAATATTTAGTACATCATCTTTAGAAAGATACAAAAGAAATGAAATTCAGCCTCTGTTCCCAAGAAATTTTTAATGGATATCACTGAGAAAGTACAAAACACTCAATCCCAACAACTATAGCCCACTGTAATTTAGCATACAGTCACCCTGGCTCTGTAGACAGTGAAAAGCTTTATTCATTTTGCACCCCTACCATGGAAAACAGTTCCTGGAATATCAGATTCTTTTTTTAACTGTCTGATGTACAGAACTGAACTGAAGACTAAGATATATGATTAAACATCAGACAGTAGCACATGCCTCTAATCCCAGCACCGAGAAGGCTAAGGCAGGAGGATCACTGCGAGTACAAGTGAATCTAGCCTACACAGTGAATTCCAGACTGGTCTGAACTACACAGCAAAACTGTCTGAGAAAAGAAAAAAAAAATCATTGCGAGCTGAGGTTATCAGAGAGCAGATAACACAGATATAGCAGAATCTTTGCAGAAGACTGAACCTTGAGATACTCTATAAATGAAAGAAGATATAAAAAAAATGTTTATGTGGTTCTAATTTTATTAGTTTTATTTTTCTACACAAGAACACTGGTTCTCCTGCTGCACATTTTAATTACTTATGGACAATGTAACGTGTACACATGATAGGTTAACAAAGAAAACACGCAAATACACTCACACAAGAACTACAGCATCCCTGGGACATCAGAACAAGGACTAACTCTCAGATGCTTTGTGTGTGCTGTGACAAGTACCAAAGAGGGCGTAAAGTATATTTTAGTGTATGAGCTGTCTATGCTAAACTGAATGTAAAAGAAGGTACTTCCCCAAACTTTCTTCCAGGATGTCTTTACACTCTAGAAAAGATACTTGCTTATACTGCTGAAATTCCAAGATTTACAAACAAAAACTTGAAGTGTGCATTTGACCCTAGCAGCTTCACATTTACACCACCTGATTCTGAGCACATCTGAAAAGAAAATCCAACTGCATGCCTAGGATGTCCTTCAGCAGTCTCTGTACACCCTAACATTTTTTAAGCAGTACATGTTTGCCATAAATAGTAATTATATTCAGCTCTGGGGGCTTGCTATATATATATAGATATAGATATAGATACACATATATACATATATATCGCATCTTGATCATTTCTACACATTCCAACTTTACTCAACTTGTGTTTCAAAAAAATTCAAAGAATTTGCAGAGAAGGAATTTGCTAATATCACATGTCTAACAGCTGCTACTCCTACTAAATCAATAGCTTCTTCTGTTACACTAGTGGCCACCTCAGAAAGTACGCTTGATAAAAGTCCTGTTTCCCCCAAAATCAATTAAAGGTAAACCTACCCTATAGGGCTGACTGCCTCAAGAAGAAGCTCTGCAGAGCTTAGAGGTTGGGTAGCTGATAATTCTGACTGGATTAAACCACAATTACTTATAATTAAGTATCTCCGGGAGCTATCCATTCAGTCTTCCTAGCCTGCTGCACTCAAGAACAAAAGCCCATCAGCAAGTCATTTAGGAAAAAGCAACCAACTGGAAGCACTGCACTTGCTTCCAGGGAAGATGTTCTTTGTTTTTCTTAAAACATACACTAGACAACGGTAATTAAAGTCTGTCAGGTAATGAAATGGAATTACAATACACACATAAGGATAGGACATTCAAAGAAATGTTTCAGGGCTCCAACTAAATGCAAATAGAAGTAAAGCATTTTCTCAAATTTTTCCTAGAAATTTTGATTTTTCAATTTTGTAATGGTCATCACACAAACTGTCTTATCCCCAAGAATGCAAACTGTTAATGCTTGAAGCACTTTTCTCTAGGACATCAAAAGATTTGGAAACCTAACAGTAATTACTGTATAATCATTCAAAAAAAAAAAAAAAAAACGTGGCATAACATTTGTAAAATTGAACTGCACCTGTCATCTATTTAACAAAGGAATATTTTATATACAAATGACATAGCTTTAAACACTTGACAATTTGGTTAAACTAATCCATAATAAGAATTCCACTGTTAAATGGAATACAAGTAACCAAAAGTTGGATGAACACGAATTGGAGACTTCTAAATTTAAGACACACTGGATACACTCTGGGCAACTCACTCAATCTCTCCATATTTATTTCTGCATCAACAAATGAGCAAAATAACAATGCTTAAGAACTATTGATTAAATGAATTAATTCACATTAAATTTAGAACACAGCCTAGTAAAGGGTAACAACCAAAGAAATGTCTTCTATTATGCCATGAACATTTTTAAATAAAAATAATGAACGGCAATTTAAAAAGAATACTCCTAAAAGTAAAAACACAGTTTTCATGACCTGTGAAAAAGTTTTAAAGTATGCGCAGAATATAAACCAAATAATGGGAAAAGAACTCTTAAAAAAAAAGATAGCTACATCCCTTCAAAGTGAACTAGATGGTTTGCAAAATGTGGAGGTAAATCCCAACTCTTACTGGCAAAAAAGCCACAAAATCAGCCTCTCGGGAGGGCAAAATCAGATAAAGAGTACGTGAAGCCTTTAACATTTTCTACTTTTATTAATAAACCACCAAGTTGAACCTCATTCCTGAAGTAAACTGCCAAATGTTTCTGTAATAAAAACTGCAAACTTTCATGTGAGCAAATCTTTTCAACAATAGGGAGTTGTTTCAGTCTGTGAATAGGACAGTGTCAGTGTGATCAACACAGTGGGAGCTGGACATTCCTGACACCCTTGTCCCCTAGTTAGCCTTTGGTCACTCATATCTCCCCAGCAGTGTACAAGGGAAATATGGTTTTGGAAATAACTTTTAGGCTAAGGATATGGTCACCAACTACACGATGAGACTCGGCCTTCTCACAAAGCTCTGTTTCCAGAGCTTCTGGGCCAGATCCTCACTTTTCCTACCCACAATCCTGAGCATCCCCCTAGAATGAACATCAAACACAAGAACGCTTTGTTTTTCCTAAATCTGCCCACCCCCACTCCCGAGGAGTCGTTTGGTATTTTAATCGGTATTTTCTGAAAAACATCAAGGGATAATGGTGTCAACAAAACCAAGGATTAAAATGACCACAAGACTGCAAAAGGTCCTGGCTGGTTACTTGCGGATAGCTACTAGGTGAAAAGTGGAAGAGTATTTTACATAAACGGAAGTTTGAAACTACAGTACTTACTCCAAACGCTGCGCTGCAAAACAGACTCGGGACTCTGAAAGAGATTAATAAAACCCACCTCGCTCCAGATGCGGGGGCAGCGCCTGCAATCCTTGCACTCTGGGAGTTCGAGGAAGGAGGACTGCAAGTTGAAGCCTAGCTTAGGCAACTCTGCCACTCAGCAATTCCCTATCTCAAAATATAAAAATTGAAAAGGCTGAGGATGTTGCCAAGTGCCAAGGCCCTGGGTTCAATCCCCAGTGCCACCACCAAAAATAAAAACACACCTGTTGTAAGGACTAACTGCGCTATCAGCGTCAGAGTACCCGGTGTGTGAGTCTGTACACACATCAGTACGTATCACTAATCGGAAGCTACAGTGCTTCCGTCCAGCGGTTTCACGACCATTCCAAGGGTAGAAAACAAGGGAACAGAACTCAAGTCCGCCGAGCGCGCACCGCCGCTGCTTCCGGGCGTGGGTCTCCCGGCGGTCTGCAGACAAAGGAGGCCGGGCTGCTGCGGCCGCCTCACCTCCGCGCGGCGAGCGGCCCGCCCGCTCCTCCCGAAGGCACAGCCGCGCGCGGCGGACCTGACTGTGGGCGGCACGGGGCGGCGCTGGAGCTCGCAGCCCGCTCCAGGCTCCGCAAGTTCCCGCCGCCGGCCCGGACCCTCAGCCCGGGACGCGCAGCCTCAGGTCCCGCGCGGGGACCGCTATCCCCAAGACCGTCTCCGCTGCTTGGGCGCGCTCGGCGTCCTTCCAGCCTACTCTCCCAGCGGTAGAAACGTCCACTCACCCCTGAAAAGCAGCAGCAGGCAGAGGTAGCGGAGCCCGAGCAGCCGACGCCGCCACAGCGCCATGTCGAGCGGACCTGAGGGGCCACTGGCGCGCGGCTGGATCCCCGGCCCCGCGCATGCGCCCAGCCCGCCGGGACCCTGCGACCCGCCTCTGGTTACCATAGCGACCACCCGGCGGCCAAACCGGCGCCTCGGTGACAGAGAAAGCTGAAGTCTAGTCTGGTTGCCATGGATGCACCGATGCTCTAGACCCGGCCTGTGGAATCTCTTTCAATGAACGTGGTGGGAGGAGGATAATAAAATGTTCAGGAGTGAGGCGGAGGATATTTCTGTAACTGCAGAAATTTGAGAAGGTAATCCATTAAAATTTGGGAAATAAACGTTTCTCATTTTACAAATAAAGGTGCAGCCCATTTTTCTCTTGCAAGCATATTGCTTTCCTTCTTTAGAGCTCCTAATTCCAAATGTGATGAAAGGAAAAAGCGCTAAAATCTGCTGAAAATGTTAGCAAGTCAAAAACTGCATACAACATACTGTACATAAATGAAATATATTGCTAAAGTAAACACAATTCATTTCTGTAGTAGACCAAATCATAATGGTATGTATACATAACACAGCAGCAGGCTAATTCTTTGTTTGAGTTCTGAATATAAAGAGATGATAAAGCTAGGAAAGAAAAATAGAACAGGAGCTTATGATGCCAAGCAGATTAAGAGAAGGATGAAATAACCGGAAATTGGAACTGCAGAGGCAGGAAGATTTAGTGTCACTTAATACCGAGGAAAATCCTTTTAAAAGCTTGTATTGTATCTAAGATAGAAAAAAATCCAACAACATAATAACAACAGAATTCTGAGAATAATTGTCAGTAAAGCATGCCAGAGTTCGCAACAACCAAGATTTTTCAATATTTAACATAAGGAGGACTTCATTTTTGTAGCTTTCCTACATTCTCTTAATAGTTTTAGTTTTCTGAGAAATAGAAAAATGTATGTATGTATATCAAATTTATATAGAAATGCCAAGAAACATGAGATTGTTGCCAAAGATATGCCTCAACTTCCACCACTGTACAAGCTTCTTTATAATTATTTATAACTGTTCAAACCTTTGCAAGTGTGAATTAATTACTTTCCCCCAAAATCTCATAAAGGCAGAATAAAATTTTTAAAATAACTCAATAACCTATTATGATCCTGTCTTTTCTTTCCTAAACTTTCTTTCCATTTTTGGTCACCATGTGCCAAAGTCATAATTAAACATTTGTAAAAGTTACTTTATGACACTGGCCTCTCTCCCTTTATCAAACACAAAATAAAGACATTAAAAAGAGAGCACTTTTGCTTAGGCCCACTGACTTTTTCCCACACTCTCTCTTTTCTCTATTATTCTTTTTATCTCCTGATCGCATATATTTACCTAACTGAAGAACCCATTTTGTTTACTCGGGAAATGTGAGATGATATCTGACTTTGGACAGAGTACACTTTTCAGAAAGCAATACCTTTTTTGTTCTGCTGGATTTTTCTGTGCTTGCATTATGAAATGGTTCTTCCTGTTAAATGATCTCTTTTAGGGAATCCTTTAGAACTCAGTGAAATTATAAAGAAAGACTCTATGACTATTCTATGAGGGGCATAATTTTCTGGGAGAATGACAGGTACTTCACTGTAAAACACTGATTCTCCACAGGTGGATTCCACTTGTCCTTGCTGATGGTTGAGCCCTGTTCTTGGAATGGAGGGGTAACTAAGGACACATGTGGCTGTGAAGTGGTCCATTCCTCCCTAGGATTTCATTGTTCCCTGTAAAGTTCTGAGCATGATCGAAAGGGAATCCAAACTCAGTGAGACCAGAGTAAAGCTCTGGAAGTGTTCACTGAGCAGAACTGTGAAGTTTGTGGCTCTACCATAGCATTATTCATCTGAGCATGTGTGGCTTGGTAGGGAAAGGTACATTCATAAAAGAGTTCAGGGAACTAAATCTACTTGTGCTGAACTTAAGCAAAAGCATTTGCAATGCCATTCAATACCAACACAAAGTGCAAATCAAGTGGCAAGAGTGGGTTTTCTGTGAGACTCACTCCTGAGCAGACTACACAAGTCTGCTCTTTATATCTTGGGAAAGTTACTTAACTCTCTCCAGCCTTGGACTCCTTGTCTGTGAAATAGGAATACTATCACTCACATCAGTGGAAAGATTTTTTTATTTTTTTAATTTTTTTTGCGGTACCGGGGATTGAACTCATGACCTTGCGCTTGCCAGGCAGGCGCTCATGCCACCGAGCTATATCCCCAGCCCCCAGTGGAAGGATTATGCGAGTTTAACATTTGAAATGCACAAGGTGCTCAATAAGCATCTGTTGCCTGTGTCCCTTCCCTTTCACACTATTTTGGTTCAGATCAATCAAAATGGTTACAATATTCCTGGAGAGACTTAGTAAAGAAAAAGAGCTTCAGCTAGAAGTTCGGGTGGACTGAGAAGCAAATGGAGTTTTATAGCACTGTGTGTCTACTCTCCTGTGTAACTTTATTTATAAAAAGCAACATGATCAACAAAGGACTAATATCTAAAATATATAAAGTACTCAAAAAATTAGACTCTGCAAAATTTACAGACTCAATAAAAAATGGGCATCTGAAATGCACAGGCACTTTTCAGATGAAGAATACAAATGGCCAATAAATACATGAAAAACATTCAGCATTTGAGCAATGTAAATTAAAACAACACTGAGATTCAATTTCACTCCAGAAAGAATGGCTATCATCAAGAATAACAATAACAAATGCTGGAGAAGCTGTGGGGAAAAAGAATGCTTCTTCATTGTTGGTGAGAGTGTGAACTGATACAAACACTATGGAAATCAGTGTGGAGATTCCTTAAAAACTAATTCTATTTAACACAGCTGTTGCCCTTCTAGGTGTCTTCCCAAAAGAGTTACAGACATCACACCATAGTATGATGCATACCCATGCATACCTATGTTTATAACAGCACAATTCGTAATAGCTAAACCTTGGAAACAGCCTACTTGTTCATCACCAGATGAATGGTGCAAGAAATATTACCAAAAATCAACAAGTAAGATCCTATCAAATTAAACACCTTCTGCACATCAAAGGAAACAACCAACAGAGTGAAGAAACAACCTATAGAATAAGAAAACTATTGCCAGCTATTCCTTAGACAGAAGGCTAACATTGAGAATATATAAAGAACTCAAAAAATCAGATCCCCAAAAATAAAAGGCCAATCAAAAAATGGATAAATTAAATGAATAAACACTTTACAGAAGAAGAAATACAAATGGCCAATAAATACATGAAAACATGTTCAACATCTCTGGCCATTAGGGCAATGCAAATTAAAACAATACTGATGTTCCATCTTACTCCAGAAAGAATGGCCACCACCAGGAAATCAAACAAATGCTGGTGAGGCTTATTGGAGTCACTGTCTCAGTTACTTTTCTCATCACTAAGATATAATAACCAACACCACAAATTAAAAATGTAAAGGTTTATTTCAGCTCACAGTTTGTAGAAGTTTTAGTCCAGTCAGCTGGCTACAAGCCAGGGCAGCATGGCAGGGGGGCATCACAGAGGAGAAACAGTTCATGGTGTAGCATGCAAAAGGCAGCAAACAGCAACAGCAACAGCAGCAGCACCAACAGCAAGACTTCCTTCTTTCTGTCCTTTTATACAGTATTCCATCCAGAGTACAAGCCTATTGATGGGTACCACCCAGATGCAGGGTGGGGCTCTCACTATCCGCATCCTTAATCCCAGCATCACACCCTTAATCCACATTCACGCTCCCTCATCCAGCCACCTTTAAAACTCCCCTCCTATGACTGCATGAGGCTTTGTACATACAAGCCATAACAGAATCCTTCTACATTGTTTTTGGGAATGTAAACTAGTATAACCACTATGGAGATCAGTATGCAGATTCCTCAGAAGTGAAACTTGAAATTCCATTGACTCAGTTATTCCACTTATAAGAATCTTCCAGAAAGAATTAAAGCCATGATATTACAATGATAGCTGCATATCCATATGTATAGCAGCACAATTTATAATAGCTGAATCTCAGAAGTAGCCTATATGTCCCATCAACAGATGAACACGCAAAGAAAATGTAATATTTACTCTGCCATAAAGAAAAAACTTGAGTCCTTAATCCCAGCATCACACCCTTAATCACACCCTTAATCATTTGTAGGAAAATGGATGCACCTTGAGACCATAATGTTAAGAGAAGTAAATCAGACCCACAAGATGAAATATCATATGGTTTCTTTTTTCACATGTTTTATTTTATATGAGAAATCCAATATATGAAGTGCAAAATAAAAGACAGACAATAGGCAAAAAGTGAGAAAAAAGTTATTGTAATAAAGCATGACTAATGTATCTAAAATGTACCTTGATTTAGCATAATTGTCTTGTGTAATTTCTATGTAGTTTGGCCTGTTAATCTGGCTATTAATCTGTGTTTACGATAACCAATTTGATAAAGACTTATAAAATGGATAAATAAACCTGATGTGGGGAAAAAAGGAAAGAAACAAATAGGAGTAGAGGGGAACAAGAAAAAAGTGAGGGGTTGTGTACATGTACCTACTCTCCACAATCAATGGAATCATTATGTACTGCAAAGATGTACTAAAAAAAATTTTAAAAGCAAAACATAACATGATCAAGATTTCTGTTCCTTCACAAAACCCCTGCACAATCAGCTAAGGTCAACTCTCACAGCAATATTTTGCCCCGGGAAGTCTTTGACTACAAAGTTGTTGGAGCATAAACCTGGGTCCAACAGACCCATTCCTTACTTTTCTGCTATAAATTTGTACTTTACCATTATGGTAGCCAACTGTGCATCTCAGTACCCATCCCTGAGGAATACAGGAAGTAATCTGTGTTTACCCACTTGGTATGACAAACAGCAAGAAGTGTGTGCAAACAGCCTGTGTACAAATGTGTCAAAACTGGATTTGGATGCACTATCACCCTGCAACTGTTTTTACATATGTTTAACTGAGCATCACAGAGGGTCCAGTAGATCCACACCACTCCAAACCTTAAAAAAGTTTTGTTTTGATTTTTCTGGTAAAAGTAACCCAGTTCAGTACAATGGCCTATGAAAAACCAGATTTGCAAGTTTTGGAGGAGATCAAAAGTGAATCATCACCTCAGTATTCTATAGCTGTGACGAGGAGGAGACCAAGGAGAGAAAAAAAAGAGACTGAGAAAAAGCAG